CACTGTAGTGCTTTGAGAGATATGTAGAGGTGTTAGGAGCCTTTGTGCCCTTGTGCACAAGTCCTTCCACCATGGAGAGCAGGACATGGGGTGCAATCATCCTTCCCGAGCAGGACATGGGAGGCCACGTCCTTTCCACGCAGGCCAGGACGTGGGCTCAGAAGCAGACTGAGCTCATGGGGTTTGACATGGTGACAGTGAGAATGCTGTCACTGAGCCCAGACTCTCAATATTACCTTGTTCTGTTTTGTTCTTAACGAAGTTGCATCGAGTAGATGTTTATAGTGCAGCAAGGGAACTTGCCGGTAGAGGGCGAGATGGTCCCGCTGTACAACAGATTTTTTTAAAAAAAGAACAATAACAAGGGCAAACACTGCCCTATTGCTGTTGAAACTGTATTCAGCTGTAATCGGCTGCGGTATTTAGCTGCTCGTGGGAAGGAGTGAACTGCCTCTTGCCTTTCACAGCGGCTTTATGCTGGATTTTCCCAACTACTTGCAGTTAGTTTAGTGTCATAATCTGCTTGCTTGGGTGGGTATTTAGGCCTCACCTCTGATCTGCTATCAGATCAGAAAATACATTATCAACAATTAAAAAAAAAAAAAAAAAAGCACAAGTGGGAGTGCACAAGCAGTGTATAGTATTAAGCTGCAGTGTTTGATTCTATTACCAAACTATAACTATGAAATAATAAAGGGGTGTTTATTCCTGTTTTTTGAAGGATTTTTCTCCTGTTCAGACAGACATCGTCAATGCATTTTTCTGTAAAATTCTGTCCTTGCTTGGCCCCCGGGGTAGAGAGATCAGCCTTAGGGGAGGGAAAAAAAAAAAAAAAAAGTTCCTATCTGCAACTGATAAGAAGTTTGAGAGACTTCCAAGGACTCCTGTTGTACAATAACATGCAGGATCATTTCCACGGTTAGCGAGGATGAGGACTGTTTTAAGAGATAGAAAGTGACTTAGTCATTACAGGTAAATGTGAAGGGCAAGACCACCTTAGGAACTACAATAAATATTTTCCCTGGTTGTACACACTGACCAGAAACCATTTCCCAAGGAAGCAGACTTCCCAAGAATTGCAGCCGATAAAGTGAACTGGTTGCAAGAATTCTATGGACATCTTTCCTGTACAGAATTTTTGACAGTCTTTGACACCTCTCACACGTAACTGACACAGAAGCTGGAATTTCAAAGGATCCAAATTACCTGATACTATCTTCCTCAATAGGCAGAAGCTTGAATAATTGCCTAACTACACATCCACTAGCAATCCTACCTACAAAGGAAGGGAACAGGATGCTGGAAGCCTAACAGTAACAGTGTATCCCGCTCTCTGTTCTTGTCCCTGCTCAAGAGACTTTGTAAAGCAGAAACATAGGTGTGTAAACAGACATGAATCTTCTACTACTTCTAGAAATTTTGATAAAGTGTAAGGTGACAAGATCTACAAATATATTTGAACTGTTAATATTTTACAGAAGTTCAAAACTCTAATACAATTTAAGCAAATTATAATATACATCACATTAGAGATAATGACTGCCACATTTAGTCCAACTCATTCAGCTTGTTCTGACAATACTTCTGGGATGTAGTTATGTGGATTGTGGTGCACCTATAATCCCTATTTGATCTTTAAATCATCCAGGCTATGCCTTTGGTTCCATACAACATTTGTGGACCAACACTGCTTATTCAGCATACTAAGCATTGCCTGATTATCTATGTAGCAGTTAGGGGACCGGCTCAAATAATACACTACAATTATAGTCATATGGCAAAGCTGCTCCCTGTTTGTCTATCAGAATTTGAGAATCCTGCACGTGTCTGCCTGAATTACCAGATTTTCAGATGCTGTTGTTTCTAGTTCATTTTATTAAAGTAAAGCAATAACATTATCAGGTTACTGTTCGTACTTCTAAACAAAAGCTGGTCTTCTCATGGAGAAGAAAAAAACCCTCAGTATTTAAGGCTTTTTTTCAGGGTCGCAGAATCCATCTATGGTGCTTGTGGATTTTGATGCTGCTTTCAGAGGGCTCAGCTCTTGCTCTTGAATTTGCACGACACCAAAAATGACAAGAATCTGGAGATATGGATTTAGGTGTTGCAGGGATGACAACATTGCCATTAGCGTAGACCTGCTCTTTGTCCAGCCCATTAGGGCCTGTCGGGTCCCATCCATCTCGTCGACATCTCTGCAGAGTTGGCGGGTGCTTGAGGTAACTCATACAAAACCGAGGACGTGCTCGGGAACAGGCTGGAACTCCTCTGAAACCGACTGTCATTTTCCAGGTATCTGCTACCCAGGGAGCGAGACCCTTAGTGGCAAGACATTAGTGGCAAGAGACAGTGATGGCTCCTGGCTGCGCTTTCGGCAAGTGGATGAGTTTGTCCCAGAGGATTTTCCAGAAATATTATCACCTTGTTCACAGGGAGCCTCCTACGTGTTCATGAAGGCACTTGCCACATCCAGGCTGGATTTCCCTGCAAAACAAGTTCTAGTTCCTCATCAAGTTCTAGTTTTGCATCAGAAATGAAGCATATTTACATAAATCACAAGTTAGATAAATATACTCTGGGCTTTGATTAAAATGACCATTTTTAATCTACTGTTACTGTAAGCTTTTGAGGGATTTTTTTTTCTAGAAAAATCTTTATTCTTTTTCAAGTGGCAACTATCAAAATTTAATTTGCAGCATCTTAACTCCGAACGGGCCCTCCTGCTACCCAAGAAGACACAGTTACTTGTTCATAGTATTATGCCCTTTAGTTTCACATGTGCGTCCTTTCAGCTCTCCCGGATCACCCTTTGCGTTCCCTCACAGAAGGGAGGCGCGAACCTCCCCCCGCAGCCGCTTCGCGGCCACCCCAGGGAGGCCCCAGAGCCGCCCAGGGCATCACCGGGCACAGGGGGCGGCTCAGTTCCGCCTCGGTCCCCGTCATGCCCAGCGACTCCGCTCACTCCTATAGGCGAGTGCTCGTCACGTGGGGCCAGGGGCGTCACTCTTCCAAATGCGCGTGCGCAGGGCGGGCACCGCCCCCCCCGGCTCGCTGTTGCGCACGCGCAGC